CCAAGATGGCCTCCAAGATGGTCCAAGATGGCTGCCAAGTCCGCCCAAGATGGTTCAAGACGGCCTCCAAGACGGCCCAAGAGAGTCCAAGAGGCCTCCAAGACGGCCCAAGACGACGCAAGAGGCCTCCAAGAGGTCCTCAAGGAGGGCCCGAAGAGGCCAACATCTTCGATTTTCCTTTGGTGTTTGAAGGACTTTGAGACTCGCTTCTTCTCGGCATTCCGACTGCTCAAGACGGCCCAAGAGACCCCCAAGATCGCCCCAAGATCGCCCACGAGGTTTCCAAGATGGCCCCATGACGAGTCCACCAAGACAGCCCCCAGAGGGACCAAAGACGGGCCAAGAGGCCTCAAAGACGCCCATGATGGCCTCTAAGAAGGCCCCGAAGCACCCCAAGAAGGCGCTTAGTCGGCCCAGACAGATTCACGGATTGAGGACCACCCGTTTTCAAAATGTAGCTATCGCCATAGCGCCGCGCACATTCGCTTCAGACATTTGCGAGGGCTTCACGGATTGAAGGCAGTTCTATTTCAAAATGTGGCTCTCGCCATAGCGCCACGTAAATTCGTTAAAGAATACAAGGGGTTCACGGATTCCCATGATCAGCGTACCAGAAATGGTGTTCTGGAAGGGTTCAGGATTATGATGGCGCAACATATGCGTTGATTCGCAGTGTTGAGGTCCCGGGAACGGCGTTCTGGCACGACTCAAGATCGTCATGCCGCAACAGACAGGTTGATCCGTGTCGTTGGACTCCCGAGAACTACGTTTTGGCATGCTTCCGTGTCTACAAACGGTTGTCTTCCAACGAGGCAGTTCCCTCAGTGGAACTGAACCCTTGTAGGGGCCTGTGAAGAGGGAGCTTGGAGAAGGGGTTTATTCCAACATCGTTGATGACTCTTGGGTTTACATTGGGCCTCCTCCTCTTCCAACTCATACTCCTCCTCCTCCTCGTGGCGTTCGCTCCCACTGCCTCACCTAGCCGAGTGGTGGCATTTCGTGGCTATCGCCACGCCTTGGCTGATGACTCGCGCAAGGTGGCGGTGGTGCTGCCAGAGTGGATCGAGCCCTTAATCAATCGGTTGGTGAAGCGCCGAGGTGTTCCCATTGACCCTGCGACTACTTCGACTGTCAAATGCCACGCTGCGGCACCAAACAAACACTGTACTCACGCGAAAAACACTCACAACACTCACAAAAGTGACGTCCAGGCGTAAACGATCGTCTGCATATCGGTATACTCGATAATCTTCCGAAAACAATTACGTAAGTCCGCGTTGCCCCGGCACTCACTGCTACCTGCCGGCTTTCCATCCAACTCGCTGGTAAATGTCACCTGCTCCTGACTTAAGCCACGATGCGGGGCACTGCGACCCGCTCTCTACGCCAATGCTGCGCGATGCCACACCTTCGCGCAGAATGCGCATTCGCTTGCCGGTAGCTCCAGGATCTGGCCAAGCGCTTGTTCCTCTCGATCTGGGCGCAGTCACGACGCACCAGGCACAGCGATACTGAACGACAGTTCCCCTGCAAATGGTTGATCAGGCTATCGCACATGCGCAGGCAAAGGGAAGGGAGGCGGAAGACGTCGAAGGCGGCCTAGGAGAACACAGGGGATGGAGGAGGATAGGGCCCTAGACAGCGTGACATTTTGTTGGGGATGCCACCGTGCCAATGTTCCATTGGTTCGGCGGCGCCGAAGGACGATGACACAGAGGAGACGGAGGCTGCGGCCAGGATGCGGCCGCAAAAGAACGGCAAACTCGCGGTTTCAGGCGAAGCCGGCCGAGTCCGTCCGGCGCGAAGGCCTTCAAGGACGAGTGCTGAGGGTGCAGCTGTGGGGGAGGGCGGCTCCACCACGTCGTTCTGATATGGAACACCACGCGTGCTTTTGTATGGCTCTGGGTTGGCATGCAAGAGCGCTGATATGGAAAATCACGCGTGGTTATCATGACTGTTGGTTGTCATAAAAAGAGCGTGCGATGCTCCATGTCATCGCGCGGCTTTCCCTGACAGCCATGACCCACGTCATCCCACGGCTATTCTCTGACAGCCAATCGTCACGAGCAGCGTTTCTTCTTTACGTCAACCACTGGTCATACAAGAAAACGTGTGACCGTATGCCGTGCAGCAACGCGCGAAGCGAGCAGCGCCGTCCCTCGCCATCGCTCGGACGTCCATTCCCCGTGCATTGTTCGATGTCGTGCGTGTCCTTTACGCTAAATGATCAAAGATGCTCCTCGATGGTCCTCGCCGAGAAAAAATGCACACGTCCGAGAGATGCCAAGGTCCTCCTCGCGCGCTCGCGCGGCCGCCCTGCCCAGGCCGCGGGGCGCGGAGTGCGGCTGCCTCCGCGCCCCCGTCGGCGACCTGCCGTCACCGGCCTTGCGGCGACGCGACGCCAGAACGGCGGTCGGTGCCCGCGCGGCCGCGCGCGCGACCCCAGACCCTCGACGTCGCGATGGCGTCACTGCCGCGGACCCCGGAGCCCTGGAGCGTCAATGCCGCGGGCCCTGATGACGCTCTCGAGCCCATCCCCAGGACGGGTGTTCACCTCGCGCTGTTTCCCGATGGCCCCACGGAGCGAGACACGGTCACATCCCACGGCGGAGCCACGAGGCGACCTCTTGGCAGAACCGATCCAAGGGTGCAATGCACGGCGAAAGGTATGTCACACTCTGTGGCGCAGCTGGAGGGCACGCATGGCCCAACGCACCGCCGCCCGCCCGCGGGCGCGGGAGGAGGGAAGGGAAGGGAACGGAGGAGTGAGGGAGGAAGGAGAGAGGAGGGAGGAGGGCAGACAATGGACGGGCGGAGTGGAAAAGAGGGACGCGCGAGCCTGCATGCGGGTGAGGGTTGGGGAGGACGCGAGGGGGTCGAGGGAAGAGGGACGAGACACAAACGATGAGAAGGAGAATGACGACGAGGAACATGGACGACCGCGATGAGCCCAAAGCCCCATCCGCTGTCACGGCGGCCGCTGCCTCAAGCGCGAGGTACTCTCAGGGCGACCTCGAAACCCACGGACTACGCATGCTTGCCATCAGGGCGGGCGGCGACGCCCGCGCGCGAGGCGCCGACGTGACCATCTCGGCCAAACCCTGCCCCAGCCCGCGCATCGCTGCAGCAGAGGTCGCCACAGCGAGCTGCGCTGAAATCAAGGGGCTCAGCGCTCCGAACGGTCAAAACCGCAGGGCTGCATGTCCATGAGCAGTTCCCATACTGACTACCTACCAGACCACCCCAAACCAGACCGAAGACCCGAACTTTGGGGTGGGGGGGGGTACAGGTTCCATGTCTTCTCCCCATGTCCCCCGGCCCCCCCCCCACACTGGAAACGGAGGGCAACTTGAGGCCTTCGGGTTGAGTTGGGGTGGGTTGGTGGGTGGTGAGAAGCACATCCTAAGCGCCGTGACAACGTGCTCGCACCCACCACCGCCATGGCAGCTGAGGCCACAACCGCGGCACGGGCCACCGCGGAGGAGGAGGAGGAGGAGGAGGAGGAGGAGGAGGAGTAGGAGGAGGAGGAGGAGGAGGGGAGGGGGAGGAGAGGCGGGGGAGGGGGAGGCGGGGGCGGGGAGGGGGAGGGGGAGGGGAGGAGGAGGAGGAGGAGGAGGAGGAGGAGGCAGGAGGAGGAGGAGGAGGAGGAGGAGGAGGCAGGAGGAGGAGGAGGAGGAAGGAGGAGGAGGAGGAGGAGGGACCCCAGAGGCGTGCGCCGGGGCACAGGCGCCGATGGGGCGATGCCCAGAGGCGCCCTCGCCGCAGGACGGGCCCCTCCCCACGCGCACCGCGTCCAGCTGCGGCGGGCTCTGGCCTTTCTGGCGACCTGCCAGAAGACCCCAAGCACACCCGACGACCCGAAAGTCGGGTTGGGGGGGGGGGGTACGGGCTCCAGACGTGCTTCTTCGATGCTCCCCGACCCCCACCCCCCCACTGGGAGCGGAGGGCGAGCTGGGGCCTTCGGGTTGGGTTAGTGCGGGACGGAAACAAGACCACAGCCACTGCTTCTTGTTTGCGCCGCCTTCCAGCCGGCCGAAAAAGAAGCAGTGGTTGTGGTTATTTTCCTCATGCCAAGCTTAACGAAAATGACCACAACCACTGCTTTGTTTCTGCTGGCTGGAAGGCGGCAACAAAAGAAAAGCAGTGGCTGTGGTCGTTTTCACGTCCCGTAGTTAGGGTGGCTTGGCGGGTGGCGACTTCCTGCCCCTCCAGTTTCACGAGCCTCAGCGCCTGCAGATCAAGGGGCGCCGAGGCGCCGCCCGCCTCGCCGACGGCACCCTCGCCCTGTGGCGTCGGGCTCCTCGGCGCCAGCGGCATCGAAGAACCTCACCGTTCTGCCTTGCCGAACTGCGCCTCTCGCTCGGGCCCCGTCCAGCCACCAGCCACGGCCAGCGGCGGAGAAGTCAGCCCCGCAGACCCCTCCGTCGGCGCCGACATCGCCACGTGGATCTGCAGCGTCGGTCCTCGAATACTCGAGAAAGCCACAGCGCAGCACGTGCACCGAGCGCATGCGAGCGCCATCTCGGCAACGGCTACACTGGAACGGTCCCGTTCTGGACGGGTACGGCGGAGGAGGAGAGGAGGAGGAGGAGGAGGAGGAGGAGGAGAGGAGAGGAGGAGGAGGGGGAAGGAGGAGGGGAGAACGAGGGGGAGGCATGCCTCCTCCTCCTCCTCATCCCCCCTCCTCCTCCTCTCCTCATCCTCTCCTCCTCCCCTCCTCTCCTTGCTACTCCTTCGTCCTCCTGCTCTCCCTCGTCCTCCAAATCCTCCTCCTCCTCCTCCTCCTCCTCCTCCTCCTCCTCCTGCTCCTCCTCCTCCTTTTCCTGCTCCTCGTGGCGTGCGGTCCCACTGCCTCACCTAACCGAGAGGTGGCGATCCTCCTCCTCCTCCTCCTCCTCCTCCTCCTCCTCCTCCTCCTCCTCCTCCTCGGTTGCCTCCGTGGCGGCCGGAGGAGAAGGAGTCCGGAGAGGCCCCCGGCCCCCGAAGCCGCCCCTGGCGGCCTGCGCGCGAAGGGGGCGCCCTCGTCGCGCGTCCTGTGGGGGGGAGCAGGGAGGCCACCGAGGCCGCCACGGACCTCGCTGGCGGCGCGCACAGGCACCGATGGGGGGCAGGGGTCACTCTGACGTGTAGCCGGCTCGGAGCTCCCACTCGAGCACACCCATCGGCTACACGCAGGAGTGGCCCTGGGTCAGAGTGGCCCCTAGTGCGCGGCGTCTTTGGGACAGCGGGGGGACCAAACACAAGCGCGCAAGACGCTACAGTCGCATCGCGTTCCGCGCTCGGGGGGCCCCCGAGGGCCCGCACCAAAGGTCACTCTGGCGAAGGATCACTCTTACGTGTAGCCGACCCCACCCACCAGCCCGAAACTGAAACTAAGGGCCCCAGACAACAGTCTGCTGGATGTCTTGGAGGCGCTCGCCCCCAGGGTGCCACCAACAAGCTGGCCCAGATGGGCAGATGGGCACCATATATCCACATGTATAAATGATGTTGCCCAAGATGATCCAACCGGGCCACAAGAAAGCTTTTGCCGGCGCGCATAAGGGGGTAGGAGTCATGAGGGAGGGGGCGAAAGGCTTCTTCGAAGGAGGCCGCTGCTTTGAAGGCGCCTGGCCTGCATCTGCAGATGAGGCCTGCGCCTCCCAGGAAGCAGGGGTGCTTCTAAGAAGCCAGCCCCCTCTCCGCCCATCCCCATCTGCGTGTGGCCGAAGACCTCTCCCGTGGCACGTTCTGACCAGGGCTCCGACGCGAGCCCCGACGAGGCGACGAGGGTCACCCAGCGAGGAACAAGACATGCCATAAACATCAACTTTCGGACGGCCGCGCGAATGTCTCGGATCGGCGCTGGAGCCCCCTGGCGCGCTCCCGCGCCAGGGAGGAGAGTCCAGCGCTGATCCGAAACATGCGCGTGGACATCCAAGCGTTCATGTGAATGCGTATGTTGGTTTTCCTCGAACGGGGGCCACCCGGGAGGCCCACAAAAGAGCTAGAACGAGGGAGGGGCACCGGTATCAGCACAGCAGGTGCACACTAGAAGACATTCTGCCATCAGAGGCCTTGGGGCACATTCATCCTCGATTTTAGGATCCGCACGGTGCTCCAGGAATGTAGTTGCCCTGGGGCGCTGGGAGATAAGACACTTCCTTGGGGCACCCGATGGCAGGCCAATCTCTTGGTTGATGCTCCTGCTGTGCTGTACTGTTCTCCCTCCTTGACGTCCATTAAGGGGCCCAGAGACACACACACACAAACAATCACACACACATAAAAATAGACGCGAATCCTGGGATTCATTCGTTGTTTCTGTTCTGGACGTTCGCCTTCCCCCCTGCCTCCCGTATTCTCCTGTCTTCTGGGGGGGCTCGACGATTCATTGTGTCTGTGTGTTTTTGTTCCCCCCTTGGCGTCCAGGCCGTCCAGCCCGCGCCGTCCTCCGTCCACCAGCAGTCGCTGTGCCGGCGGGCGCTGAAGCCGCCGACCAGCGCCACTCCCCCTGGGGGCGCCGCCGTCGTCGGCGTCGTCGACGCGGTGGCCGTCGTGGTGGTTTGTCGTCGTCGTGGTCGTCGCGGTGGCCGTGATCGGGGTGATCGTCGCCGTGGTGATCGTCGTCGTGGTGGGCGTCGTCGTCGGCATGGTCGTGGTGGTGGTCGTCGTGGTCTTCGTCGTGGTGGTCGTCTTGGTGGTCGTCGTGGCGGTCTTCGTCGTGGTGGACGTCATGGTCGTGGTGGCCGGCGCCACGTCGTGGTCGCCAGCGTCAACGCCGCCGTGATCGCCGGCGTCGTCACCATAACACGTCGCCGCCCGAGATGAGGGGATCATGCGGGGAGTTGGGGGATGGAGACTGGGCAGTGGCGACGGGTGAGCTGAACAGGGGAGAGGGGAGGGGTGCCAGGACAAACCAGGCACGCTCGCGCCAAAACTGACGTGCTGGATTCTGTCCTTATCGCCGGCTGGGGTGTCCTGGATGACCTTGCTCCCCAAGGTGGCCCAATCGGGTTGTGCGCTATTAAAAACGGGGGTCTGTACGTTATGCGAAGAGGCGGTAGTGGCGGAAGGGTAAGAGGATGAGCAGGATGATGAGGCATGAGGAACAGCAGCAAGAGGAGAGGAAATATGAGCAGAAGAGGGGAAGGCGGAAGAGGGGAAGGCGGAAGAGGGGAAATGAGCAGGACGGCCACGACGATGGACACATCGAATCCATGAATGTGGTCCGCGTGAAACACGACAGCGGAACTGATCGACGCGAGCCAAGCGCCGCTCCTGAGCTATGGCCAGCGCTGCCAGACGAAGCACACGTTCTCAGAACTGGAGCGAGCCGCCTGAAGAGCGCAAGAGACAGACCAACGCGTGAAGTCACGAGCGGATGGTAGCGCCGTGAGCGGGAAGGGGCGCGCGCCCATCCCACACGGCAGCCTGGGAGAGAGGAGAGTAGCCCATCCGGCTGTGTACGTGACGCAAGGGGAGGGGGTGGGCAGGGGATGGGACTGAGGGGGCGGGCTGGCCGGGGTGCGGGGGGTGGGAATTAGGGGAACAAAACCTGACATAAACATAACAACTCAGAGGTCCGCGCGCGGA